CTCTCTCTCTCTCACACACACACACAAACGCAGAAATGCACATACATAAATATCATTGATATTATTATATTAATCCACCTAGAAAAACCAATTAGGGACTCTAACAGTTATTAATTCAATTGCAAAAATCATTGTTTCTGTAGAAAAATATACAATTTGGTGTCAGCCTCCCCCTACTCAAGATTTGATTTACATTTAAGTTATTACGATTATCAACAAAACATTTCTCTTCAGGCATAATTTTCAACTTTTAGATGATGTGACTCCCCCCCCCCTACCACCCCAACATTAATAGCTTTAAACTAACCCGCTGACCTCCCCACAATCGTTCACTCACGCTTTTATACCCGCATTTGACCTTGGGATAACAATACATAAAAACACCGAGGTTACTACACAGTAGGGTGAACTCAAATCACACACGCATTCTCTTTTAGTTCTAGACTATTCTATTCTATTCTAATCTGACCTCACAATGACCCTTAACACGCAGCCCCCCCCCCCCCCTTATACGCATTTTACTAGAACCCTATGTGTAAAGTACATGTGTGTATTTGTTTATGTGTGTAAGTGAGAGGAAAACGAATTTAATATCAGTATTTTCCAGAATTAAACTTTTGTGTGTATTTACTGTAATATAGTGAGACTTGTGAAGTCAAGGGAACTCACTCTTCTTGTATTAGTATTATGTTTATACTGTTATCTTGAGTGATGTCCCTTATTTGTTTATATATAGTTGTCTCTCGTCACTTCCGCCCTCTCTCGTTCCATCATGTAGTTGAAGGCCAATAAACGTTTTATATACAACCACATGCTTCTATCGTCAATCCATTACATCTGGCGACGACGATAAATGATCCACTAGAAAGAGCACCTACTTACTCAAAAAGAGGTTTGCTAGAGCATATTGGCTAAGTATTTCTAGAATAATGGCGCTGTATGGCCAAATAAAAGAATTTGATTCGAATGACGAAACCATTCATGATTATCTAGATAGGTTAAGCTTTTACCTTGAAGCTAACGACGTGACGATAGAAGCCAAAAAGAGAGCTGTTTTGTTAACAGTCATAGGGCCTCAACAATTTAGGCTACTAAAGGACTTATGCGCACCAGCTAGTCTAACTACCAAGAGCTTTAACGAGCTGAGCAAATTGCTAACAGACCACCATGCGCCCGCACCATCAAAGTTTCTGTCTAGAGCCAGATTTGACGGTAGGACTCGTCAACCAAACGAGTCAATATCAGAATATGTTGCTGCTTTACGTCATTTAAGTGAATTTTGTGAATTCGGAGACACGCTGTCTGACAGACTATGTGAAAAGTTTGTGACAGGTGTAAACAGCCCTGATGTTCAAAGAAAGTTGCTGCTCGAGTCAGATCTAACATTAGAAAAAGCAATACAACTCGCAACTTCATTCCAGCAGTCATCAGATGCGGCAAAATCTCTAACGCCTTCAGAGATCCATGCAGTAAACAGCAGGTTAGTCAACAAACACCAACTCCATCAGAGCATTTCAACTTATGCTAAACAGCCTGCACGTTCAAAGCCTAGATCTAAATCTAGTAATAATTATCAAAAATGTCATCGATGCAAAGGTCCCCATGCATCTCATCGATGCAAGTTCAAGTCTGCAACTTGTTATAAGTGCAGTAAGCAAGGTCACATTGCCAAGGCCTGCTTTGCAAAGTCTTCGTCTGTTGCTAAATCTAGTCAGTCAAGACAGTACCGCAACCAAAGGCAGCACTATGTTAACTCTCACCAAGACTACCTAACCCAACCAATGAACCACTCTACCTGTGAAAATGCTCAAACTGATTTGCAGCCGGATTTCAACCTGTTCTCTGTGAAATCAATAAGTCATGCTCCCATCAATGTACTAGTTAATATCAACGGTAAGAGCATCAGCTTCCAACTTGACACTGGAGCATCTCTAACAGTCATAACAAAGAAAGATTTTGACGCTGTCACAGGAGGATCAGTGCCTCTACAGCCATGTCACAAGTGTCTAACAACATACACTGGTGACAATGTTCCGGTAATAGGAGAGTGTATGGTTCATGTAAGTTATAATGGTCAAAGTGTTAAACTTCCTCTTCTTGTGGTTGAAGGAAATGGACCACCATTACTAGGTAGGAACTGGTTAAGTAATCTTAAGTTAAATTGGAAGAGTATTTGTTCATTGAACAATGCAAAAGAATCTAGTCTTACTTCACTAGATAAAGTTATATCTGAAAATAAATGTGTTTTTGGTAACTCTGGATTACTAAATGATAGAACAGTGAAGATAAGCATTAAAGACACAAATCCAAGATACTGCAAAGCTAGAGTTCCACCTTATGCAATGAGGAATAAAATTGAAAATGAGCTAAGTAGATTGGAATCTAATGGCATTATAAAGAAGGTAGACTATTCCGATTGGGCAACGCCCATTGTGCCAGTGTTAAAGAAGGATGGTTCTATAAGAATTTGTGGAGATTATAAAACTACACTGAATAAGCAAATAGAGCTAAATAGGTACCCTATACCTAACATTGAGGAAATTTCTTTGAATTTGGCAGGAGGAGACAAATTCACTGAATTAGACTTTAGTCATGCTTACACTCAACTAGAACTGCATCCAGATTCAAAAGTCTATACGACAATAAACACACATAAAGGACTCTACCAATATGAAAGACTATGTTTTGGCATATCATCCAGCCCTGGAATTTTCCAAGCTGTCATGGACAGTATTTTTAAGGATATTCCAAATGTTTGTGTGTACTTTGACAATGTGTACATAACTGGTAAGAATGACACTGAACATCTTAAAACACTTGATAAAGTATTGAAAATTGTTGGTGAAAAAGGTTTAAAGATAAACAAAGATAAATGTCAATTCATGCTGACAGAAATTAGTTTTCTTGGTTATATATTGAGCAAACAAGGCATCAGACCTCAACCTGAGAAAACAAAAGCCATTAAAGAAGCACCCAAACCTGAAAATACCCAACAACTAAGAGCTTTTTTGGGCTTGATAAATTACTATGCAAAGTTCATAGGGAATCTGTCTGGTAAACTATCACCACTGTACAAGCTGCTACAGAAAAATGCAACTTGGCACTGGGGTAAACAACAAGATACTGCTTTTAATACAGCAAAAGAGGCTTTGTCTTCTGACACCTTACTAACTCACTATGACCCAGGGAAAAGACTTATATTAACATGTGATGCTTCACCAGATGGTGTAGGAGCAGTCTTGTCCCACATGGATGAGAAGGGTGACAGACCCATTGCTTTTGCCAGTAGATCTTTGAACCAGGCTGAGAAAAATTATTCTCAGTTAGATAGGGAAGGCTTAGGCATCATTTTTGGTGTTAAGAAATTTCATAAGTTTCTGTTTGGTAGGAAGTTCACCATCTTTATAGATCATAAACCATTGCTAGGTTTATTTGGAGAAAACAAAACCCTACCTGAGCATGCCTCACCAAGAATTCAAAGATGGGCTATCACATTAACTGCATACAATTATGAATTGAAATACAAACCTGGATCTGAGAATAGTGCAGATAGTCTTAGTAGATTACCTTTAAAAAACCAAAGCCTGAGCTATGTACCAGAAGATGTATTTGTTCTCTTCACTATCATGGATAACTCCAATATAAATGTGAATGATATTAAGAGAGAAACACAAAAAGATGAGTGCTTAATAAAAGTATATGAGTACTGTAAGAATGGTTGGCCTGAAGAGTCTGTGAATGATGACTTAAGGCCATATAAAATAAGAAATAAAACCCTTTGTGAAGATAATATAAAAGATGGAGAAGATGCAGTCCATTATCAGTCAGAGTTGCCTAAACAAAGTATTTGTAACTTCATAAATGATTATGGTGATATGGCAATTTCAAATGCTTTAAATAAGAAGGAATGTGATCATCAAACAACTTTGCTAACATCATTAGCACTTACAGAAACTAAAAGAATCTAAAAGGGTAACATCAAAGGTAAATACCAAACAGAAGAAGCTAAATGTGACAATGAAAGAGTAAACAGGTTCTTAACCAAATACCGCACAACTCCTCATATAACAACAGGTGTTGCACCATGTGAATTGCTATGTGGTAGGAAAATTAAAACTCATCTTGACCTACTACATCCAACTGTTCAAAGGTCTGTTTCCCAACATCAACATACACAAAAAGTTAATCATGACAAAACATCCATTGAAGAGAATTTGGATATAATGAGAATGTGTATCTGAGAAATTATGGGAGAAGGGAAAAATGGATACCAGGTCAAATTGTTCAATGTACAGGACCTGTGTCTTATAAAGTAAAAACAAATGATGGACTTATTGTCCGTAGACATGCAGACCAGTTAAAAATAACTTGTGCAGATAATAAGTGTGAATCTGTCAATCCCACCAAATCTGAACAGTTCACACCAACTCAGTTTGTTCCACAACCAAGTTCTGTTGATATGAGTGAACCAAGTTGTCTGGAGTCAGAAAATGTAAATTCTGGAGTTAATGATTTAAATCCTAGACCTCCTGAGATAGAGAATCCAGATGGTCAGAATCTTGAGTCACCAAATCAAAAGCCACTGAGAAGGTCAAGCAGGACAATCAAAGTCCCAAATAAGTTAGACCTATGATTTTAAAGGTCAAAAGGACTTTGACATTATTGTTTTGTATTTTAATTATGTTGTAACATATTGTGCATTGTTTGTAAGGATGTAATCTACCATAATGTTCATGTTGCAATATAATTGGTGATTTTAGGATACTATCAATTGTTCTATTGAGAGATGTGTTATTGTGTTCTAAGGGTAAAGGGATGTAATAGATTGAGATAATTGTGAGGTCAAGGGAACTCACTCTTCTTGTATTAGTTATATTTATAATACTGTTATCTTGAGTGATGTCCCTTACATGTGTCTCTCGTCATTTCCGTCCTCTCTGTGGTACCGTCATGTAGTTAGACCCAATAAACGTTTTATATACAACCACATGCTTCTATCGTCAATCTATTATAATTTGCATGGGGCCCACAATGTCTACTGCGACTTTAGTAAATGGTGTTGTGATGATATCCATTCTACCTAATTCAGCCTTACCTGCTCGACCCGGGTATCTAGCTCTCTGGCAGACATCACAAGTTTTACAATGCATTTTAATAGCTTTGTCTGCTCCGGGCCAGGAATACTGAGAATACACCCGCGCCCTCGTTCTTCTGATGGACATGTGGCCTGCCAAGGGTCCAGAATGTGCATTTGACATAACTAATAACCTCATGTTTTCTGGGACAATTAACTGTTCCTTGACAAGTCCGGCTCGCTTATTCTCGTATGACTTGAATAGCAATCCCCTTTTCACTGTGAATGAGATGCATCCACCTTTTGTCAATGACACCTCTTTCGTATTAGCTTTGTTCCAAAATGTCTTCAGCGTTTCGTCCTTCTCTTGATCCCTTCTGAACGTGTCAGAGTCTACATGTTGGAGCCCTGTGCCGACAATCGTGTTAACCTGTATAACGGGTTCTACACTCCCCTTATGAGCCATGGATCTGGTCACCGCATTGGCTTCAAATGATCCCGTGCTGCCCACATTACCTACAATCAAGTCTGCAACTGGGTTGTCAAATAGTGCCGCAACAAATGTGCCTCTAAGGTAGCTTGTTTCTACATCTACGAAGGCCGTAGGGTATTGGCGCGTTTGACCGTCTATTAGCCTCAGTGTTATGCAGTCTGGCAACTGTCTTGTCTTCTCGACTAAGCTAGCCCTACAACCAATTATGCTACAGCCGGTGTCTCTAAGCACAGAGGCTGTTTTCCCATTTAGCTTACCAACCTCTAAGTTAATTTTCCCCAAAGACCTTTTGAATAGATCTGATCTATCTATGGTTCCAAAGGAGCTCGACCGGTACGGAATTGTGGGGGATGTTGCGCTCCGAAGGTTTTCACAGGTCCCACAGTATTTTTGATTTTCCGTTGTAGATGTTGTCCCGGCTAGTCAAGCCTGATCGGGATATACCTGGCTTTTGGAAGGGTACCATATGTCTGGCTTAGGGGTGGGACAGACCCTCGCGATGTTTCCAGTTCCTCCGCACGTGTAGCACGTGATCTCCCTCATGCCGTGTGGTCTAGAATGGCGCCCAGGTGATCGGGGTGCCGTATTTTGCCGGAGTACCTTCTCTGCTGTCGAACTTGCAGCGACGTATGGGGTGGTATGGGTCGCTGGCCTCGTCACTCTAACATTCTGGGTGTTCTTATAGTTGTCAATAACTTTAAGATTATCTTCCACACTTACCTTGGCGGCGTCATTCAGCCTCCCCAACAGGTCACGTGTGACGACTGATTTTATGCGATCAACAATCAGGAGGTTCACCAAGTCCTCAAACGTTTCCTTTGTCTCCGACTGCCGGACCCACGCTCTCAACGCGGCTTCTGTGTTGACTGCGAAGCTTCTCATATCGTCGTGTGTTGGTACCAGCTGGTGGAATCTGACCCTATACTTTTCCTCGTTGAAACCTGCGTGCGTGAATAACTTTACCTTTACTGACTCGAAGTCATGATGCAAGTTCAATCCCGTCTCAACGAGGAAAGTCTTCAGTTGTCCACTCATCTTGTCCGTCAGAAGGAGCGACCAGTCCTTGGGGTCAATGCCTTGTCTCTTTGCTTGACTCTCAAAATGCCTCACATACGCACCCAGGTCTTCGTCCACCGTCATCGCCGCCACGTCCCTCAAGCGGGGTACAGGGTTACATACCTTTGCTACAACCTCGACCTTCGCATCTTCCACCCTCCTCAACTCTTCCTTTACCCACTCCGCCAAGCTGTCATCGGTCAGCCCGATTAGCTGTCCCTCCTCCTTCATGTCACTTATTAGCTGTCTTCTGGCACTCCTGGTAGTAGCCATGCTAAACGGACGGGCCCCCAAATGTTGGGTTCTAGAATCTAGGGGTATATAAATAACAGACAAATACGACGTATACAACAATAACACTAACACTCTATAATAACAATAATAATAAGATATTTAATAATATATACAGTACTAAAATAATAAAAGGATCAAAAAGGGGTCTACAACATAAATACAATACTCAACACCACGTTCCACGTTCCACGTCCACAGCCACACTACAACTAACTGATTCACACACTGGCGCACCCTCTGACACCCGTCAACTGACACACCTGACGTGAACACCTCTCGCTCCATGTAACTACATTCAACCAAGGGCTACAACCATAGTAAAGGGGGGGGGGGGGTACCTGTCACTCAAGCACACAACACACACACACAGCAGGGGACATGTAAGGGACACAACAGGGAGACACGCTAACATTACGGCATGGGCACCGCATCAATAGATGGCTCGGTTTAATTATCGAATGTCAAGTGCCACAATGTCAATTTTGTAGGGTAATTTCTAAAATGACTAAAGGCACAATAGAGCTCACAGGAAAGCCCGGGGTGCCAAATCGCACAATGCCGGGGCGCAATTATACGCCCTTATTCCCCTTATTCAAAATAGTTGCCGAGTATAATACCACATCTTATTCATAGCATATCGCACTCTCTTGAATGAAAGTAGACGCCATAGTGCTCACGGGTGAGCCCGGGCATCCAAATTACACACTGTTGGGACGCCTGATTCGAAATAGTCAACGATTATTGTTGCCTATCTTGTCTTTCGTGTATACCATTTTTTTTAAACGAACATAGGCATCATAGTTCTCACAGGAGAGCCCACGGCGCTTCGGGTCACGAAATGTCTTGGTCGCTGGCGGCTACGTCTGTTGCAGTTTTACCGCTGAATATAGCAGTACCCCTTACCCGCTATGCACGATGCCCAATTAAAGGATACTATGTATTATCAGTGTATTGATAAAAATCGTACGCTCCATGAGAATTTTTTTTCGAAGAAACTTTGTCGAGAGAATACTATATATACAGAGAAATCGCACCCTCCCGAAGCGTCGCTCTTCTTTAATTAAAACAGATTTTTTTAGCAGACATCCCCAGGCGTGTTCTAATCAACTAAGATTAAATTATCTTTTATGTTATAATCGATACAAACACAAATTTTATATTAGAAACAGCAGTTCGAAAAAAAGAACTGGAAGTTCAATATAAACATAATTATCTCAGGTAAGTATGCCATAAAGTTTAGATTGACATCCTATTTAAAATTTAGACTCGAGATACTTGAACTTATTTAGACACTCTTAAAATACCGTAAAAATACACGGTTGTCCCATGGCCAGACATAACCGCAAAAGTCCTTTGTATGAATTAAAACAATTATCGTTTTATATAAGACAGAGTTTATTTATAGTATCATCAAACATTTCTCTCTCATGTGTTTTTTCCTTGACCCCGCTTAGAATCGCAACCAGTAATTAAGTCACACCAGGCTGCATGGTCATAAATCCATATTACAAGTTGAAAGATAACACATACACATAACAATGACAGATGTGCACGATAGTGGGATGTGGGGGAGGGGGGGGTTAAATATAAGGGGAAATAGCTTCACAAGTAATTGCTGCCTTTTAGCTTGGTTTTGGTTGTAAATAGTCTATGGAAGCAAAGGCAGAAAGAAAAGCAGGCTAAAATCGAAGTGTAGCAAGTTGTCTTAGGGGTCATCCATAAATGACGTCACGCTTTTTTGACGATTGTTACCCCCCCCCCTCCCCTCCGTCACACACCGTCACAAAAAGCCAGACCCCGCCCCCTAAAATTACGTCACAACGCAGCCTACAACCCACTCAAAATTGCAGTTGAATATTTTTTAAACATCGACATTTTTCCAAAATCTTTTCTGAACCCTGTCAAAATTGAGTATTTTAATCAATTCCAATTACAATTTATTAAAACAGTTTTCTAAAACGCGAAAAAACGTCTACAATCCGTTTTCTAACATTGCTTTTTTATAATGCTAAAGTGTGACGTCGCACCATCTAAATCCCCCCTTATCACACACCGTCACAAAATTACAGAGTTCCCCTCCCCCCTACGAGTGTGACGTCATTTATGGACGACCCCTTAATACTTAATTTTGATGAGGAAACTACTCTCTATATTACTATTATGAAATTTTATATATATATATATATATATATATATATATATATATATATATATATATATATATATATATATATATATATATATATATATATATATGACCAGTCTGTTTAATATGACCAACATCCTAATATTGCCTAGTTCAGCCCACACGTTTTACATATGCCTCACCCATTTATTTATTTTTGCATTTTATTGAGTCAAGTTATTCCATACACCTCAGGTTTGTCTCATTAACGGCACACTTACGCGTTGCCCCCGCCCCCCCCCCCCCAATCCACATCCCCCCACCCCCTCACAACACATATACACTCTTGTTTCATGCAACAAATTACAGTTTTTAGATCTATGAAATTAAAAACAATAAAATGAACATTGTGGCTAATGAACAATAAACATTCCCTAAATTTAAATTTAGATATAATATCAAATCCTTATTTATATTACTAATAGACACAGAAACTGACAAAAATAGATTAGAAAGAAACGCCTATGTTTAACCTAATCGAGTCATGAGATATCAATGCAGTATGAATGCAGGTGTGTTTGCTAACCAATCAGACCTAAACACGTGAAGGAGTTCATTTATATCTGTGGGTGATAATTGTTCAACACTCCCTCAAACAGGTATAGTAATTTTTCTTTATATTATGCTGTGCTCGTTGATATTCAATTCTAATGCGTAGTAGGCCTACTATCCAGGTGTTGGTAAAACAATTGTTCAGTGGAAAAGAAGAACACAGTACGTCTTAGTTTTACACTACGTGGTAAATATTTTAATTTGTGTCTTTTAGCCTAACAGTTTGTTCTAATTTGTCAGGAGAAAATATTTTTTCCCTGAAAAAAAAATAACAGAAGTTCATTTGAGGAAACAAACAATTTCTAGATTTAAAATGTAGACCTATATCTAGATGGGTGCTACAGTGTGGTTAAATAAGTTCCCTTTTCGGACATGACACTCCATGTGGCAAGTAAATTAGCATTCATCTGTTTATGTGACCTCTGCATTTCAAGCGATTGTGTGATCAGCGCTCTACCCAGACGCCTTTTCTTTACATTAGAACTGGGTGGACTATGAAGAATGGTCTACTGATTTGAACCTGCATTTGAACTCAAGACTTACAGGTTAGCTGTACGTACTCACTCTATTGCAAGACCACGCCGTTCTAGTGTGACTTAATATCGACACTCAAAATATTTTGTTGAGTTTTAAAAAAATGTTTTTGATATATTCCAGAAAATGGATATCCTTAAGTTCACCTTGTATTTACTGCAACTTCTTCTGACAAGTGTGAAACAGAATGTTGCAGGGGAAAATATCTCCAGCAGTTATCCAGAATCTTTTCATACTCGTCAGAGTTCTTCGGGCAACACATTGGTATTATTTTTGTTGTGACAGGCATAATAGTAAATACACACGAAAGTTTAAATCTGGAAAATACTGATATTAATGTACTTTACACATAGGGTTCTAGTAAAATGCGTATAAGGGGGGGGGGGGGGCTGCGTGTTAAGGGTCATTGTGAGGTCAGATTAGAATAGGATAGAATAGTTTAGAACTAAAAGAGAATGCGTGTGTGAGTAGAGTTCACCCTACTGTGTAGTGACCTCGGTGTGTTTATGTATTGTTATCCCAAGGTCAAATGCGGGTATAAAAGCGTGGCGTGAGTGAACGATTGTGGGGAGGTCAGCGGGTTAGTTTAAAGCTATTAATGTTGGGGTGGTTGGGGGGGGGGGGGGGAGTTACATCATCTAAACGTTGAAAGTTATGCCTGAAGAAAAATGTTTTGTTAATAATCGTAATAACTTAAATGTAAATCAAATCTTGAGTAGGGGGAGGCTGACACCAAATTGTATATTTTTCTACAGAAACAATGATGTTTGCAATTGAATTAATAACTGTTAGAGTCCCTAATTGGTTTTTCTTGGTGGATTAATATAATAATAGCAATGATATTTATGTATGTGCATTTCTACGTTTGTGTGTGTGTGTGAGAGAGAGAGAAACCAATCTAACAATAGCTGCACATTTGATAGTGCGTAAATAATTAAGTCTTGTGTCGATGTTGTTACTTTTCTTTTCCTTACTGATTTATGATATGATTAATGTTTTTCTTCTATTCTATTAAAATTTGTGTAATATATGGCTAAAATCAGTTCGTATATTTTCACGGATTTATGTTAATATCATAAATATTTTCAATATGTAATAAGTTAAATGAAAACATTTTGTTTTTTAATTACTATTTAAAAGGGCGAGTTACAAAATAACACAACTTTTGTTATTTAAGAGACAAAAGTGAATAATAGACACCATAAGCAAACAAGCAAGGAATTGATAAACTGAACTGGTTGGCTGGCCAGATTAATAAATGTTGACGCTTTTGTCGCTATTAAAATGGTTACCAAACGTTTTGAAACAATTAATTCACACCTTGAATCTTTTTGACCTTTATAGTTTGTATATAGTATGTTATGGGTTATGTTAAATTATAATAATTTGATTACAAACAAGCGGATTCAAACGTTATAAAATAGTATTTGGTCGCTATGTTGGTCGTTTTCCTATAAAAAGAGGACGAAGTTCAGTCAAAACATGGTTGCTTGAAAAAAAATATATACCTTTAGAAAAAAGATATATTCGAACACAAATACACATGTGTGTACACATACTTACCATATACATCTGTGTGTGTGTGTGTGTGTTACGGTCAAAGCCCGAAGTCGGCCAAAGCATGGATTGGCCGCCCAAATATATAAGATTAGATGTTGTTAATTATATTTATCTTTCGATGGGCGGAGGGGGGGGGGGGGGATGGTGGTTTAGGTGACACCATTAGGTACGGCACCTTTGACACCCGACCTAGATACACTACTGATTCTAGCTTTACCTCTTCACCGGACTCCGTTTTAGGAAGCGCTCTCTTTAGTTAAGCTCTAACTTTTCCTTCCAATTTCTTCTATGGGAAAGCTCAGACTGGCGTACATTTCCATTAATGGGTTCGCATCGAAAGGATATTCATTTTTGTCATTTTCAAGGCGAGCCCGATGAATTTGAGGTTTATTTCTTTAAAATCTCTATGTATTGGCTATTGCTTTGTTGTTTTTCACAGTTCGCTGTTTGACAAATTTTTTTCTGACCATCTTAAGGCCGAGACATCTATTTGTTAACGAATGTAGTCTGTTGTTATTTTACTTGGTAAACCATAAAGCAGTTACGGTCTAAACATTTGTGTTGGAGATTCTTAATCTTGAGTGACTGTTCTGTGCAGATCTGTGCAGATCTCTTTCATGCGTAGTGAGTTAAATGCGCATATGGCCTTGATTATGTGGTTTTTTATGTCCCCGTCTGTTTCCCTTTTTTGTCTCACTTCTTAATACGTGAGTTTATTTATCGTATGTCTTCTTCTTGTAGTAGTATTGGCATGTCCTGTGTGATGGGAGGGAATGTATACGCTGCTATTTGAATCTATATGATGACTACTCCTATAAATAATTCTCAAACTATAACATGTGATGAGGACGAGAACACTCTTATTTTCCGACGACACTAAGATAACGATATCAACAACTTCATTCTTAAAATAGAATTAACTAATACTACACATATAAACAAGTCCTTTTCCTACAATGGCAAACCCCCAACTGTCTTCACTGCTGCGTCCTACGTCATCGGTAACATTGTCGCGTTACGCTCACGTCACACTCACATTACAAAAATTTTATTCAACACACGCACATACTCTCGAACCAAATCGTCTACCGTCAAGTTTACACCCAACTCTGATGGGTACCTAACCAACGTTAGGGAAAGTAAGGGCGGCTGGGCATAGTGATAACCACACTATCTGTTCATATGCCGAGGTCAACGAAACAAGTTAAATCTACTACACTTGCCCTATAGACCGAAATGTTTGGAAATGGAACTTTACTTTACGCTATGACATCCTGGTAAATATAATATACACAGATAAAGGTATTCAAACACATGCAGTGGTTCCTCGAGATAAGAGTTTAATTCGTTCCGTGACATTTCGCGTTAGTCAAAGCAATTTTGAAAATAGTTGAGATACCATTATTTCAATTCAACAATCCTAATGTCTACCTAGTTGTTGCTACGTTTTTACTTTCTCGGATACGAAATATAGAGGAAAAATTGTAATCGTGCAAAATGTAGAAATTGAGATTTTGATAACTCTTCGTTTTGCACGCCCATGAATCGAAAAAACAATTTAATTTACACGTTTCTGTGTGTTTCTATGTGTCTATGTAACTGTGTGTGTCTCTCCTTCTCTTTAACTGTCTCTGTGGCTCTTTATATGGCTGTCAGTGTCCATCTGTGTGGGTGTCTGTGTGCATTTATGCCAAAAACATGGAGCCGATCTGTGGCTTATAAAAAACCATTCTTTTCTTAGTCCAGAAGAACATCCTACACCTATAACATGCTTCCACAATCCATAGAACGGACAAGGTACACTATAACAGGCTTCATCCCTTTAACTTCTGTAAGGTAAGTCATAAACAAAAGCTTTAAATCTGTGGATTAAAAACACTTATCTACAGATAACAAAACACACGGTAAGTGTACTTACAAACACACTTAAATACGCATTAACGTATGTTTTTATGTACGTATAAGTATGCAAGTATAAATAGATACTTCGTTTTTACGTGTGTTATGTAGGCTATGCAGTAAGAAGAATTCGGTATCATGGTCGTATAAGTAAAAAAATGATTAAATAAAAATACAATTAAAGGCGTGGTCTCTTTCAGTGGCTAAGGCAGTGGGTAGTTAGGTTAGGTTTGCCTGTCGTCTCTCCTGGGACATAAGCCACTGGCAAGAGCTATCCAGGCGCCTCTGTCCTGGGCTAGTCTTTCCAACTGTCCCCAGGTGTGTCCAGTCTTCTTATTATTTCTTATTTAACGTCTCCATGTCTTCCTTGGTCAGCTTCTCCTCATTCTGCTCTGTGGATTCCAGATGAAGGCATGTCTTTTTATGCTGGATACAGGCTTCCTTAGTGTGTGGCCAATCCATTTCCATTGTCTCTGGAGGATCTCTACTTCAGCTGGTACTTGATTTGTCTATTGCCATAGAATGTTCTGCCCATCTCTTCCTCTGTCCTTCCGCACCAGGTATTATCATTTCATCTTTGGTCTTCACTGGCGTCTTTGGCTTACTGCAGGCCTAATTTCCAGATATCTTATTAATTGTATTGTACATAGTAGAAATTAAAAGAAGGGAGTCAGTTTGAGGCACAATTTTACTTAGTGAAGTAGATAGGAGTGAAAATGTAAGAGATTTCTAAATATTTTAAACTGGTGAACGCGCAAAGTCAAACAGATTGGGCACTCGCAATTAGTTTTATCTATATTCCGTAAAATGAGCATATTTACAATGAATTATTTTTCGTATTGAAATATACTTGTTACAAGTTTGAAATAACGTATATATTTTTTATTTGGCTAAAGCAATAGAGCGCTAGACTAATAAATTAAAATGTTGATCTAGTAATTTGAGATCTTAAAAAACTTACCTAAAACAAATTTAATAATATGCAATTGGGGAGCATTCAAGTATTACAAAAACACGAGAGAGATGGGGGGGGGGGGGGTTGATTTTCCAAACTAATCGACCTTGCTTACAGACCAGGTGAGACGGTTCTAAAATATTGATATTTTGGTGAACTTTGTAAACGAATGCCAGTTATTTAGTTTAGCAAGTAAGCAGTAAAGACTAGGTTTAACAGAGGTGTGTGGGGTTACTAAGGTATTGGTTTGCATATCATTGTCGTTTTCAAAGTTACAATTGTGTCGTTGGTGGTATACAAGTTGTATGCGTGTTTTTTTTTAAAAATAACTAACATGCACTAACTTATGTTTATTTTACCAACGCCCAGGTTTGCTATTGAATTGTGTCCGGAATCCAATTGTTTTCCAATCATAGGATTTCAGTTCAGTGTCCGTATGAATACAAATCTTGTGGTAAGGACTCATAAGACTGATGGTAAATGGGCCAATGAAGAAACATATGGAGGTATGCCCTTCAGAAGAAATGCCAATTTTAATGTAACAATGGAAAATACTGTACCACAATATAAGGTTGGTATGCACACTTTTTTCTGGGCGAATTATTTTAACACTATCTTACTTCCGTATTTAAAAAAAAATGATTCGATTTTTTTTTAAATTCACAGGTGTATGTTAATGGTTTGTATTTCTGCGACTACAAGTATTTTTATCCTGGTCCCAGAATTGGGTTCATTAAAGTTCATGGTGATGTTCAACTAAAAAGAATATCTGTCAGTGTAAGTTGATTTATTCATACGATTATCTTTTTTAACATGTGGGCAATAAACTACGGAATGCATCATGTGTTTAATTATGAATAAAAAAAAGTGACGTATTATATTATAGGCTAGCAGTTAACTATTTTTCTTTATATGCCATTAATGTTGATAATTAGGTTGAGCTTAACTTTTAAAGGGTGAGGGTTAGAGTGAGGTTTTGGTTCATGCTTAGGTTCAGATTCTCCCTCCAGCATCCAAAATATTTTTAGAAAACTTTCATCATTATTAATTTAAAACGACATATTGCTGGACAGGAATGGTGTTAGAGTTAGCGTTATGTATACTGATAGGCTTAGCAAGAGAGGTTTAAGATAGGTTAGGATAGTTTCATAGGTTATGATAAGATAAGAGATTGGGTTTGGCTAAAGAATGGGGTTCGTTATAGGTTTGCGGTATATAACTGAGAACTGCTGGTTGTTAGTTATTAATTCGATAGTGTACTAACAACATATACCAGTGAGGCCCGGGTTATGGGACTTTGTACAGTTTTCACTTTAAAAAAATACACGCATGAGAAATTTTCAGTTAGCGTTAGTAACCAACACATTTAACAACTAAAGATCTAAAACCACCCAATTTTGGTGAAATAGGTCTAGCGATCCGCATTGTAAAAAACAAAACTATGAGACAATTATAATTTTATACTGTCATTGAAACTTCATCAGACATTGACTTTCGCATTCCGGGTAACCGGAAAATGTAATATCAAATACATATATTGTCCATGTATAAACCGCTTTTGACAAACGCCAGACGTTTTGTCCACTAAGCTATACTACTTTCACTACAATACACTAAACAACGTAACGAGATTTGACTTTGTTTCTAGAATGGCCATCGTGATTTAAGATTACGAAGAAGCATTCAACCAGGTGACTGGATTCGATTTCAATTTAATCGGAACGAAATGAATGTGCGGTATGTAACTATTTTTCAAGAGTTTTAATACAAAATAACCAGGGCTACTAGGTGTCGGATCTGCAGCTCAATCTACCGACATGGGATAAAGCTATGTATAACGCTGATGTTTTCTTCATGTCGGATGTAACTCTGCTAGAGGTTTCTATAGTGTAGGTCAGGGCTCTCCAAACTACGGCCCGCGGGCCGGATGCGGCCCGTGATGTCCTCTCATCCGGCCCGCGGAGACCCTTTTGTCCACGGAAAACCCGTTTGTTTGTGATGGCGGAGGAACTTTGCCCAGAAAAATCAAAGACATTTCTGGAAGAAACTGACCCCCGAACTGAAATTTGATAGTTAATGCGGCCCTCGGACTGAAAAGTTTGGAGACCCCTGGTGTAGGTGGATGGCATGTCTGCGTGTTACAAGGTGCTGGCAGATTTGTTTCAATGGATTTTTCAACTTTTGCAGTATCAATTCAATAATTAAAACCTATCGTTCCTTTATCTGTTGATGAGTGCCGGTGTTTATCCAATATTATCAAGTTACTATGGGACCGTGTAGTCAGATTTTAGAGTAAACGACTGCTACCCAGAAAGTCTAAAATTTGAATAATTCCTCTAAGGTGAATGTCCATGAGCACACCCAGCTCCGATGGGTACCTTACTCAAATTATGGAGTTCTATCCGGCTACCTAATTTTATTTAGCTCAACCACCACCCTTTCCTGTTAGCTACTTTCTGATGGCAAAAGAATGAAATAATCAGCAGATCAAACCTTGTGTGATGAAAAAGCTGACCAAAGACTGACGAGTGTGTAAAAACCTGGTGGCAGCCATATTGTTAAAGGGTTTCAATTTAAAAAATGACACACCATCCTTTTAATCGGTGTCATTAGTCTACTCCAGAGCCATAACTAACCAATCAAGTGCCCAAATGATTGTTAATTGCGGTTTCCATTACAGGAAATCTTTTTAATTATTGCTCTCTAAAACTGAAACTCTACCTAAGTTATCATGTTCACAGACAGAGACAGACATACAGAGGAAAAAAGCTGAAAAAAGACTCAGTGACTGACAGTCGTAAAAACAGACAGGCGGACGGAATTTTCATACTTGGTGAAAATCGGCGAATTTTATAAAATCCCTCTTTTTTTCTAAACGATTACAATAATTTCTTCATA